TTTATTCATACTCAGATGTAATTGGTGAATATTATATTCAAACTTTTCTTAAAATTTTTTTATTAGTGAATATTAAACTAAAAAGGAAATTTCAAATGAGGGTATATTTTAAAATGAAGAAGCAGAGGACTTACTCCCCGTTAATATTCAAAATAACAGCTCACTATAAGTATTATCTTAAATATCATGAATAAAGAGCATAATTTTTATTCATCATCAGTTTGAAAGGGGGATAAATTTTTGGAATGTTAGCTTTTCGAAAGCCTTTTAATTTGGGTCAAGCCTCGATGAGCTTTATAAATAAATTATAAAACCTAAAATGGATGCATGCAAAAATAAAAATATATTTAGCTTTTTCTTTTTTAAATGCAAATGTAAAAAAAGCCAAAATGACATCAACAATTAACAAAGAATGTGTAAATTAAAAAAAAAGATGCAAGAATGTATTTTAAAAAAAAAATATTATGTGAGAGGGTTGGCCATATGCAAAACTTTGATCATGATAAATTTCCTTGTTTTTTGAATGTAATTACTAATGTAATTACCAAAAGCATGAGAAACATATAAGGCCTTAAATTTTGCATGCATAAAATTACAATAAATAATAAACACAAACACATGCACAAGGATAAAATCTTGTCTAAGCATGCTATTTCATATAATCCTTACACATGAGAATGGGCTCGCAAGATTAAAAGATTTGGCCAATATCATTTAAGCACAAATATAGATCTTTTAAAATTTGTTCAATCCTAAATTTCACAACAAAACACATCAGAATCATTAAATAAACAAAATACTTATTCAAAGGACATTTAAGATTTAAGATGGACCTTCTAAAATTGGCTAAGAAGAACTAAAAGGGGATGAAATAGTGGAAAAACATTGTTAGACCAAGAAAGATAGTGTTGGTGCGTGACAGCCTCACTTCAAGAATGGGTTATCATGTTTGATGCGTCACTCCATGCACCACCAATATTTGACCAGTTGTGAATGGCGTCCAAGGGTGCACCAAGTCATCGTTCTTTCTATGATGAAGGTGTATGTCACCTTTCATTGGTGGGGGATATATGATCTTAGAATGCCAAAATGGTCTTTTCTCTCTTTATGTATTCATTTTTTAACTTTTAGTTCTACTCACATTAAGGTTATTGGGTTATGTGGCTTATATGACTGTGTAGTGATCTTTAAGAGGAGAAGAATGATGACGGTCTTGCTTGGTTTGAAGGTCGAAGGAGAAAGAAATTAAAGAGAAAAGTTTTTAGGACTCTCTCTCTTTTTGTTTAGTGATGATACATGGTTTGTTGGTTTTAATAAATTTAGGTTTTTTAGATGACTTTACAAAAAAAAAAGAATGGTAAGGGTCTCATCAGAAATAGAGGTTAGATGTGAGAGAAATCAAGAAAAGAAATTTTAGGTTTAGATAGAAAAAGATAAAACTAGGAAAATCTCACCACAAAACACATTAAAATCATCAAATAACTAAGATACTTATTCAAGAGACATTTAAGGTTTGAGATAGACCTTTTAAAGGTGGCTAACAAGAACTAAAAAGGGATGAATACTAGAAAAACATTGTTGGAGTAAGAGAGATAGTATGAGCGCGTGACAGTCTCACTTCAAGAGTGAGTTATCATGTTTAACATGTCACTTCATGCACTACCAACATTTGACTAGCTATGGATGGTGTCGAAAGATGCACCAAGTCATCGTTTTTCCTATGATGAAGGTGTATATCACCTCTCGTTAGTTGGGGAAATCTGACCCTAGAAGGCTATGGTGGTTTTTTCTCTCTCTACGCATTCATTTTCTAACTTTTAGTTCTACTCACACCATGGTTATTGGGTCATGTAGCTTATATGACTATGTAGTGATCTTTAAGAGAAGAAGAATGATGGTGGTCTTGCTGGGTTTGAAGGTCGAAGGAGAGAGAAATCAAAGATTAACGTTTTTAAGGCTTTCTCTTTTTTTGATTGATAATGATACAGGGTTTGTTGGTTTCAATTAATTATGGGTTTTTTAAATGACTTTACAAAGAAGAGAATGGTAATAGTCTCATCAGAAATAGAGGTCAGATGTGAGAGAAATTGAGGAAAGATATTTTAGATTTAGAAAGAGAAAGACAAAGCTAGGATTTTTTTTATAGGAGATAGGCAATAAAAGATGAATAATGTTCTTCTAGGTATTATTTCTCCACATTCCAAATCATATTCTCTTAAAAACAAATTATAGATGTTAGGGTTTTAATGAAGAGATGATTTGTCTTTTAGTTGTAGCCTCTATTTCTTTACAATTCATTTATTTATTTATAACCCATAATTATTTTTTATTTTTTTTAGTTACTTGGTCTTCAAGTAACTCAATTTTACTTTGGTCCCTTGTTTCTTTTATTTTAACTTTACCCACTTAACTTTTGTCATTTTTTTTAATTATTTGGTCTCGAAGCGACTTTATTTTATTTTGATCACTTATTTTTTTTACTTTCTATTTTAACTCCATACATTTTGCCTCTTATTTTAATTTTTAATTTTCTCAATTTTTGTTTTTAAAAACATTGAAAATTATGAAAATGACGTAAATACATCAAAAACACGTTTTGAATTTATTTTTTTTTCTTTTCTTGCTAGATTTTTGGAACATATTAAAAAAAAAGAGTCAAAATTAGATTATGATAAAAAACAATAAAATTCAGCTTGATTAAATTTTAAGAGTTTTAACAAGTAAGTGTTTTACATGCTTTTAGTTTAAGCTCAATATTTATTATAGGCTTAGTATACATGTTAAGCTTTTTGTCTAAATCTCTTATATAAATTTGGATATATACTTAATATGCATGCAATCCTTATATAAGTGTACTAGTGATTGTAAGATTGCATTGGTATATATTATTAAATGTTCATATTCTTGGAAAACTAATTTAATTAATCTGCACTTGTAATGATAAAATAAACAATCCATGCTCACTAGTTTAATTAATCATTTAATAACTTCTTAATGACAATATTAAGGCTTTAGTTTTGACTAGTCCTGGTTAGTTTATATATTTAATTTTGTGTTTTCTAGTTTAATTTTAGAAGGTTACTACATATTTTTGTTTTAAACTTGATAATTTAAATATTTAAATTTGTTGCTATATTCATGCAATATCAAATATCTTTTTTATCTAAACTTTTAAAAGTTTTTTTGTTTAGTTTATACTATCTTCTTCTTCTTCTTCTTCTTTGCAAACTTTTTATATCTTCATGTATTGTATTTATTATTTGTACAAAATTATAAAGATATGATGCATGTTAAAAAGGACTAAAACAATATAAATTGTTTTAATCTTGCTTAATTGGAAAAAAAAATATTTGGTAAGCTTTGTAATTATTTTACAATTTTCTATGCTAGCATTAAGAAGACAAAATTGTAGATAAATTTGTGGCTATAGCAAGTAATTATCATGAAATAAACTATAGAATTAGTTGTCCCAACCAATATTGCTTCGGTAAATACTACTTTGTTAGGAAAGGTTCTACCATCATCTTTTATAGTGCATGATAAGAAATCTAAAAAGTTCAATTGATTAAATTTTAAGTGGTGAAAACATAAAATGTTGTTTGATTTGATCACCTTGAACTTGAAAAAGCTCTTACTGGAAGAAGCAACAAAGATATCAAATAATAATTATGATCTCATTATTATAGCACTTATTGATGCATGGAATTAGAGTCATTTCGTGTGTAAAAACTACATCTTGGAGTGATTTATATATGAATAAAAAAAATGCAAATGCACTTTAAAAAAAAAAATACAAGTCTAAAGATGCTAGTATGAAAAAGTTTATAAATGATAAATTTTTAGATTTCAAGATAATTTACTTAAGAATCGTTGTGAGTCAAGTTCAAAAGCTTCAATTCATCATGCATGATGTTTATGCTAAAAGTATGGTTATAAATGAATCCTTATAAAAAGCTATAATTATTGAAAAACTATCGTCACTTTGAAAAAACTTCAACTATTTTAAGAATAAGTGCAAGAAAATGAGAGTTAAAATCCTTATTTTTGAAAAAACTTCAACTATTTTAAGAATAAGTGCAAAAAAATGAGAGTTAAAACCCTTATTTTAATACTGGGAATATAAAAATATAATAAATTGTATAGAAAAATAATTAACTTTTTAAGCCTGCCCCTTAAACAAATATTTTGAAATAAGTGGCAAAGTCTTGTAATAAAAACTAAAAGAAAAATATTGCTTTAAAGAAGAGATTTGTCAAGAAATTCGATGGAAATGTTTTATCAATAATAAAACTAGTATTACTTGGACAAAACTTGCAGAAATAAAGCTTAATAAGGAACCTTAAAAAAGATAGAATTACTCAAGCCTATATTACTAGGGTTGATTACATCACTAACAGAGTTTTGAAAATTAACTGCATGTTGTTGCTGCAAAAGTCAGCCTAATTAACAATTTTAAATAGTGATAGGTTGATACTTGTACTATAAGGCATATATATATATATACATCAAGAAGATGATGTTTTTTACTTATAGAGAACTGGATGATAATTATTTATACATGAAAAATTATGAATATGTAAGATACTAGGTATTGAAAATGTTATATTAAAAATGATTTAAAAAAAAATTCACTATAAAAAATGTGCTTCATATTGCTGAAATTAGAAGTGTCAAACAAAAATTATATTAAAATAATATTTGAGAATGATAAATTTATATTTTCTAAGTTTTGAAAAGAGAAGAGTATCTTAGTAATAACCTCTTTGAAATAAATATAATCACCATTGCAATTAATAATAATACTAATAATAATAATAATATCTTTTTTACGTGCTTGATTGATATTATTGGATAGGTTAATAGTTAATAAATCTTAATTTATTTCCTATTATAGATTTTGAAAAAAAAATTATAAATATAGAATTTTAATTTTCAAACTGTTAAAAGAATTAGTGAATCTTTAAATTTAATTCACTCAAATATTCATTGATAAACGAAGCTGATAATCTTTCTGCATGATTAACCGATGAAAAATCCACAACTGACTGATAACGAACTATCAAATTTTAGAACTCGTCGCCATCATTCTCATTTGGAATAATGTGGTATGATAATCCTAGTAGTCAAGAGTTCTTATCTGTTCGAGGAAAACGTCAGTAGGAAAGACCAACAAGAAATCAAAACAGTATCTGTGAGCAGCAGAGACACAAACTCTTTCCGGTAAAAATCTTTAGACAGTGATGGATTCTCTTCTCCAATTCCTGTTGATTTTGTTCTCCACCCTCCTTGCTCTTTTATTCTCTGTTTACTTTTATGGCTTAAAGAGACCAACAACTGGTAAGGCAAGAAGCTTCAGTAGTGCGCCCCAAGCTGGAGGTGCCTGGCCAATAATTGGCCACATGCATCTCTTTGGTGGCAAGCAACTGACTCACAAAATACTGGGTGCCATGGCTGATAAGTATGGACCAGTGTTTACTATCAAGCTAGGTTCACATAGAGTTTTGGTTGTGAATAGTTGGGAAATGGCCAGGGATTGTTTCACCGTGCATGACAGAGCTTTCTCCAGTAGACCAAGCATTGCTGCCTCAAAACTGCTTGGCTATGACTTGGCTATGTTTGGCTTTGCTCCTTATGGGCCTTACTGGCGTGAGATGCGCAAAATAACTACAATTGAGCTTCTGTCAAGCCACCGGATTGATATGCTGAGGCACATACGAGCTTCAGAAGTAGAGACTGCTATAAGAGATCTTCATAAGATGTGGGTCAGCAAAGGCAGTGCAGAAAGTGGAGTTACGGTGGATATGAAGCAATGGTTTGGAGAACTGACACTTAATATTGTTTTGAGAATGGTGGGAGGGAAGCGTTATTTTGGACCAAGTGCTGATGGCGAAGAGGCAGAGGCACGAAGAAATCAAAAGGTTATGAGAGACTTTGTTCGTTTGTTTGGGGTTTTTGTGCTGTCTGATGCAATACCATTTCTTGGTTGGTTGGACTTTAATGGATACGAGAAAGCCATGAAGAGAACTGCTAAAGAGCTGGACATTCTTGCCGGAGGATGGCTGGAAGAGCATAAACAGAGGAGATTGTTGGGTGGGAAGGAGAAGCAAGAACAGGATTTTATGGATGTGATGCTGAATATCTTGGAAAAGGCCAATATTGGCGGTTTTGATGCAGATACCATTAACAAGGCTACTTGCCTGGTAAGTTTGCTTTAAAATTTTCTTCATTCCCGTACACAAGATATTGGCTGCATAATTGTAAATCATGTTCAGCTTTTTGCTTCATCTCAAGAGTCTCTGGAGATCTTTGCAAAATGTCTATGGAACTGTGGTTTTGCAGCTACTAATTAAATTTACACAGGAGGCCTGTAGTTTTATTATTCGGACGAGGCATTTTTGGTCAGTGAAAAAAAGATTATCAGTTTTAGATTCCATTATTATTATCTGGATTGTAGAATGTTAGGGAGACAGCATGGCAGGTGATCGTAATGCAGTCTTGAATCCAGGTTCATCCAGACATAAATAGCATGTTTTTGTATTTATCAAAAGTCAAGATTTCTGATTTAGCAGAATACAATACAGAACAGTTTGCTTTAGGTCTATACTCTTTGAGAATTCTGTAGAGCTGGCGGATCATTGTTAAGAAAAGCGATGATTTCACATATATATCATGGCTTATGTGCAAAACAAGAATTGTTAAGACTCGAAGAGAGGCTTTTACAGTTGGTAAACTATAACGTGTTGTGAGAGTTTACTGCACTAGCAGCAAAGTTTGAAAAGGAACTCAATTTAGTCAGAGTTCGTGTAGACTAATGTTAAATTAAGTTATCTTATAGCCAGCGTATGGACTAATAAATTGTCAGCTGTAATACTTTTGTCATGATGGTGGATTGGGTCTTGATCCATAAGGTCTTCTTTTTTGTTCCTTTATTATTATTATTATTATTATTATTATTTAATATACCTGACGATTGCCTAAAATCGAAGAATGATATCATGGGCACTATTGACTAATGAGTTATACTTGGTAGAATGTAATTTTGGCAGGAAGTGACACCACCATGGTCACTCTGACATGGGCATTGTCTTTACTGCTCAACAATCCCCAGGTGCTAAAGAAGGCTAAAGATGAACTGGACATCCATGTTGGTAAGGATAGACTAGTAGATGAATCTGATATAAACAATTTGGTCTATCTCCAAGCAATTATCAAGGAAACACTGCGTTTGTATCCGCCCAGCCCACTAATCGCCCATCGTTCTGCAAAGGAAGACTGCACTCTCTCAGTTGGCTACCACGTTCCCTCTGGCACGCGCTTGATGGCAAATGCCTGGAAAATTCAACGTGATGAGCGTGTATGGCCGAATCCTGATGAGTTCCACCCTGAAAGATTCTTGACTAGCCAAAAGGAGATAGACCTTAAAGGGCAGAATTTTGAACTTATCCCATTTGGTTCAGGAAGAAGGTCGTGCCCTGGCATCGCGCTAGCCCTCAGGATAGTCCATTTTACTCTGGCTAGATTGTTGCATAGTTTTGAAGTCACTAAGCCATCAAGGGAAGATGTGGATATGACTGAGAGCCATGGCTTGACGAATTTGAAAGCTACCCCACTTGAAATTCTCCTTATCCCACGTCTGAATCCCAGGCTTTATGGATAGTGGGTACTGAGAACTGGTGCAAAATTTCTGTAAGAGGAAGTGCTATGCAGCGAGCAAGAGCTGCCCAATATTTTCAGAGATCCTACTGTGGAACAACCAATGTCAGGTTTCTATGACTAATATTAATATTAAAACCCACTGGATATCTAATTCAGACCAATCTAATTATGAAAAGAATATAAGTGGATCTTAAACAATAGTAAATCTAGCGCTGCAACAGCGTAAACTAACCTCTTACAACTTGCAAGTCCACATTTCCAGGATAGTATTTTACGAGTGCTGTCCATTTTTCTCTCTTGAGAGGCTTTCTCTAGTTAGATTTAGAGAGCATATATTGATTAGAAAGACGTTTAAATGGATCAAAGTTTGTGAAGCTGAAGGAATTCCTTCACTTTTTTGATCTGTAGAAACTAAAGGACTGATATGCATAGAAAGCCCTAGCAATAATAATCAATCCCAGCAGGCTCTAGTCACTCGACTCCACCGTACTGTAGTCATTTTGCTTAATTTAGGGGTTAGGACAAAAGAAAAAGGAAAATGCTTTTCTTGACACTTCAACCTGAACCTTTCTAAGTTCCTCTTTTTGTGATCTCCTGATCATTTATGAAACCATGGGCATTTCCATTGCAAGAATTTGCCTCAACTGGACTCCCAACATTCAAATAAGTACTTAAAGTCTGGACAACTTCTTTCTTTCCTGTTATATGAAAATTTTCATTCACCACCAAACTCCACAACATTACAAACAAACTGAACTGAATTGCATCAAAAAAGTAATATTTGCCTCCCCTAAAGACCAGACACTTTATCACGACAATAGCTTCAAGGTTTGAACATGTCTGCAAAATAAGCAACTCCTGCTGAAAAAGAGTATTCAATTCGCATGAGCATGCTCAGTAGGCATCTGTTTCTCCTCGCACCATTTCTGTGCCTTCATTGTCTAACTTCCAATAAGTTCAACTCTGCCTTCGTTGTCTAACTTCCAATAAGTTCAACACCTTCTATCCCTATCAAACACTCTTCAATACCTCCCTAAACTCTCTCATTTTGATTCATCAATAGGAAAACCAATACGAGTGTTGCCATTCCTGCGTTGGCCCTATTGCTCGAAGAACACAATTACTACAGTACTTCGCATTACAAAATTCTGCATGAACCTATTCGCTTTAAAACACCTATGACCCTAGGCTCTCCTGCCTTCTCATTTTCATCAAATACAACACCAATTACTAAAATGGAAACCGCCACCACAAATATCAATATCACTTATTCGATATTGTGAGGTGGCATTTTCTGCATAATATATCAACTTTAAATCATTATCTTACACTTTCAAATTCCCCGTGATTGTAAGGAGCATTGTCCATGTATTCTCTCTTGGAACAGAATTTGGAAGATTCTCCAGTTAGTTTTGAACTATCCAAATGTTGAAATGGAGCACAGTTACAATCTTGTAGAACTCTATCATTTTTCTGATCTCCAATTACTGAACTCATGCGTATCGAATTATTCACACTAGAACCTTCAACAAAGCTGGAATACCTAATCCCACAAAGTTCTAAGCTCTTCACTCCACCATAGTACTGGAGTACCGTGAATTTTTGCTTAATTTAGGGGTTAGCACCAAGGTTTCAAGAAAGTGAATGTTATATTCAGCAGATTATACCGTTTACCAGAATACAAAGCTAGTATAACATAATACAAACGAAGACAGCCAGAACTAGCCTTTATCATTTAAGCAGATTCAATAAAGAAAAATATGCATTTAACCATGGAAATTATTACTGCAAACTCTGGTATATTTAAGATAAGCATATATCATTCTGGAAAAAAAATCCTTAAAGCGAGACTAAGAAACATTAAAGGAACAGAAAGAGCAACCTAGAAACTGAAATCAGATTGCTCATGACAGAAAGATGCAAACTAGCATCTTAGTGCTCTATACCACTTCAGCTAGGGTTTCATGACCATGAGGAAAATTTCATCCGTAACTCGGAAGATGATCACATAGAAGACAGGAGTCTTCTTGGTTTCCTTCCCTCCCTTTATGAGCTGAAAAATACGTTGTTGGGTTTATTTTAAATTATGATTGAGAAAAGAAATATCATTTACTTAGTAGATGTAAAATCTATAAATTTATTACGATTAATTTTGTGTGATATCTTATAATTTTTTCTATCATCATCTTGCATGTGGAGTAGTGATGCAAGTGGAAGCTGAGTAGTAATCGTAAGAAAAACTTAAAAGGTTTAACGAGCAAAAGGGATTACAGATGTGATTTTTAAATTTATAATTTTATCTTTGAAAATTAAAATGTATAACAGTCACTTTCTTAAAAGGTTTACAAGACCTTTAAATAGGTTAGAAAACCCTATATCTACTATGAAACAATTAAAAATTCAAAAAACATAAGTGAAAATTAAAAAAAAATCCAAATTAAAACATAGAAAAAATAATAAAATATGTTATAACATGAGCATTAGTGCTCAAAACACGATTATGAAATATCCAACTATTCATTCAGCAAAACATTGGTTATCCCAGGAAAAATTAATTATAGAATTACTTGTAAAATTTAAGTTATGTCCAATAGCCAGATTTTCCATTATTATAGTTTTAAGAAGGTAACCAAACATGACTGCTTCAAACCTTTTCTTGAATCTAAATTTATTTCATTAATCCGCAAAAAAATCTATTAAATCATTTATAGAGTATATCTGGATTATATGTTTATTTAGTAATGTCAAATCATTATCTAAATGCTGAAAATTACTTATGTTCACAAGCTGGCCATATTATGTAGGTTTTAAACCATGTAAATTTTATGTGTTGTTATATGATTGTAATTTTACTTATTTTTTATACATCTCTACTTACTAATTAAATTGAGATTTTAGGGTTCTTTCCACTGAACACATATAGCTTGTTCCTCCAATTTGTTATCCATGACGAATTTGGACAGTTTTGTAAGTGTTGCATTTCCATTAAACGGATCGTATCTTCTCACACGGAGGACTTTCAGGTGAATTTTTGAATGGTTAGTGCGAGGCATATGCTTCCGTGCCCATTCTTCTGCGATATGCTGCATGAAGAAAGCCATTAATCATAGCAGCTCATATTTCATCTAATACATAATTCAATACCAAGAGCTAATCTTATTCCAATTACAAGCAGAAAAATTACACGGTTTTTCTTGACATATAGAACTGTTCGTAGCTATTATCAAGATCGACTTCAATATCAAACTTGTGAGAGTACTTGAAACACTATAAAATTTCACAGTTTTACCGACGAAAATATTATGTCGGTGTGTGATTAGAAGTTCGTCAGTGATTTTTTTACTGACGTCATCACCGACGGATTACATCTGTCGGGTTACCTTTCATCGGTGATTCAACATTCCGTCGCTATATTGGTCGGAAAAACAAAAAAACCATTTGCCCATGGTTTTACAGACAGAATTTGAGCGTAAAAAAAAAAAGATTCCCGCTTGAATATACCGACGGATTTGTATTCTATCGGTGATATCGCGATTTACCGACGGAAAATAACTGTCAGTAGGGTTGTCGGTGAGTGTATGAAATACCGACCGAATATATCCGTCTGTAAATTCATCGATAAGTGTGGCAGCTACTGTCAAATGCCGACGGAGTTGTTCCATTTGTAAGTAGGTCGGTGAGTGTATGAAATACCAACCGAATATATCCGTCTGTAAATTTATCGGTAAGTGTGGCAGCTACTGTTAAATGCTGATGGAGTGATTTCATCGGCAATTCGGTCGGTGAGTGTTTAAAATACCGACCGAATGAATCCTTTGGTAAAATCATTGGTAATTGTTTTTTTTCTAAATTTGTTTTTAAAAAATTATTTAGGATGTATAATATAAAACTATGTAAATTAATTGTAATACAAATCAATTATGCAAATAAAATTTATATTAAAAAAAACAAGTTAAATAATATTCATTATAAACTGAATATGTTTCAAAAAAAATATTAAATGAAGTTTTAAAGTTAAATAATGTTTATTACAAATTAATATAAAGGTGGAGCTGGAGGAGGAGGAGGAGATCTAATATAAAGGTGGAGCTGGAGGAGGTGGAGGAGATCCTGGGGGAGGCTGGTGGTTTTACGGCCAGAAAGGATTAGGCGCATATGTTTCACTATTTGTCATGTTCATAACCATTTCGCAGAACTGTTCATAAGCCGCTTTTTGTTGCTCTTGAAACGCTTTGAGGTGCGCGTACTACGCTGATAGGTGGTCATATTTCTCGATGAGCTGAGCCGTGTGTTGCTGCAAGGCCTCGAACTCCTTAGATTTGGAGCTCGATATTGATTGGGAGCTCCCAACGGTTGAAACACTACGGGTCAACCACAAGTTGTCGGCCGTAGTGTTGGAGAGCCCGTAAACCTGATTTTTATCGGGTCCAC